TGTCCTGAGGCAACCATCAATCTTTACCCAGTCTTCATCTGTCATAAGGACATTTAAAATCATCGCCTTACTTGGGCATTCCATCACTTGTAAATTGATGAGAAATTCCCCCTGGCACAGCATATTCTTTGGTGTCTCAAGCCAAAGTTTCCTATTGACAACACAATTTTTCTTGTCAAGCAAAGCAGGGAGGCATTTACAAAATAAATCAACACGGTTTTTTGGGGGGATTCAGGAGTATTTATAGAAGGCCCTTCATTGCCTTGATGAAATTGTGCATCAGAGCATGTTTGACTATCAGCTCTAGAGTGAGTATCACTTTTGACATTGCTTGTAAATCAAATTCACAATGGCTCTTGCCTATTCCTTTATCCAACAGGTTAGACTGAACTAGCAGTTCCACCATATGGCTGTGACCCTTAAAAATATCAGTTAACTACATTTCTTCCTGCCCTGGTGATTTCTATTTCCTCTTGCACTTTGCCCAGATGCAGTCTGCTCTCAAAGCTGGAAATGCTGCCTCCCCCCATCTGTTGTGACATTTGTCCAGCTTGATCATGATGGCTTTACCATCACTCCTAGCATTAATCACCATGTGCAGCAGCTTACCAAATGTTTCCAGGAGCCTGTCCCTGCTCTATCCAGGTGTATTTCCAATGAGACAGTACCTCCACTGTGTTCTGCATTAATTCTGACCTCTCCTCTTGAAAGGAGCTTTCTTCCCTGCAGCCAGAGTACTTGACCTACTTGGTCATCGCCTGTGAGTTCTGGGGCACCCTGTGTCACAGGTACCTGAGACACAGCAACCATAAATGAATGAAGAGCATGGCCAAAGGTAAAGGCTTAGGAAAGTCAAGCTTCCAGATCAAACTGAGAAACAAGAATACCTTTCTATGCAGCTTTGTCCTCTCCTAACTCCTGAGTAAGAAACAATAAATAAAGTAATACAACAGGTTAGCTGGAATCCAAAGGTGCTCTGGTGAAGGCTGTCAGCATTGCATTTAGGTCCATCCAAGGAATCCTGATATGGGGAAAGATAACTCACACCACCACGAGTCATGTGGGATGAGTGACAAACGCTTCCAGCAGAAGGGTGCTGGGTGGAAAATACAGGGCCTTGACTGACTCGACAGACAGGTCAGGCTTTCTCAGTGATAGGATCTAAAAGATATGGGATCCAGGAATCAGTGAAGGGAGGGTGCAGGTTTACTAAACACAAGGAAGAAGATGTGGGCTACTTAGTGGTTAGCGTTCCTGAACCCAATGAAGCAAGTAAAGCACCATCCCACCCTCATGTGGTCAGGTGCAAGGAAAGTGATGCTCCTCCCCACCCTCCTCTCAGTGGGAACATCTGCTAATATTCATCAAGAAATTTAGCGGGCCTGGTCAGAATCCCAGAATGGGTAAGGGTGGAAGGGACTACCAGAGATGTAATCTGGTCTCAACCCCTGTCCTCAAGCAGGGTTGTCCCAGACTACATGGGACAGGATTGCCTCCAGACAGTTCTGGAATATCTGTAGTGGGGGAGACTCCACGACCTCTCCAGTGCTCAGACACCTGCACAGTAAAGAAGTTCTTCCTTTGTTCACATGGAATTTCCTGCATTCCAGTTTCTGCCCGTTGTCTCACGTCTTCTTGGCACCACCAAGAACAGGAGCCTGGCTCCTTCCTCTGACACCCAGCCTGCAGACACTTATGGCCAATGATGAGGTCCCCTCTCAGACATCTCTTAGCCAGCCTGAACAAGCCCAGCTCCCTCAGCCTTTCCTCATGAGGCGCTTCCTCACCTAATGATCTTTATTCGCCTTTGCTAGACCATCTCCGGGAGCTCCATGTCTCTCTTGGATGGAGGAGCCCAGAACTGGACACAGCACTGCAGATTCCCCTGACCACAGATGAGTAGAGCCTCACTTCCCTCATCCTGCTGGCAATGCTCTTCCTAATGCATCCCAGGACACCATGACACACTGCTGGTTCATGGAGAGCTTGTTGTCCACCAGATCCCCAGGTCCTTCTCTGAAGAGCTGCTCACCAGCAGGTCAGCCCCCAGCCTGTGCTGGTACATGGGGTTATTTTTCCACGCAGGTAGGGCCATTTGCCTTTGCTGGATTTCAGAAGGTTCCTCTCTGCCCATCTCTCCAACCTGTCCCTCTGCAGGACTGCACAACACTGAGGTATTGGCCACTCCTCCCAGCTTGGTGTCATCAGTGGACATGATGAGAAAGCATCTAACCTTCATCCAAGTCTTTGATGAGTAAGTTAAACAAGGATGGGCCTGGTACTGAACCATGTAGGACACCACTAGTGACAGGCCTTCAGCTAGACCCTGTGTCACTGACTATGACCCTCTGGGATCTGCTGTTCAGCCAGTTCTCAATCCACCTCACTGTCCACTCATCCAGTCCTCACTTCCTAAGTTTGTCTATGAGGATCTTGTGAGAGACAGTGTTGAAAGCATTGCTGAAGTCGAGGCAGACTCGAATATCCCCCTGCTCTGCCCTCATCCATCCAGGCAGTTGTCTCATGGTGCAAGGCAATCATGTTGGTCAAGCATAATTTGCCTCTAGTGAAGTCAAGCTGACTCTCCTGCTCACCTTCCTGTATTCCACATGCTTAGAGATAACTTCCAGAATGAGGTGCTCCATCACCTTGTTGGGATTGAGGTGAGGCTGACTGGCTGACTGGTTTCCTGGGTGCTCCTTCTTGGCCTCTTCGAAGAGTGGGGTGACATTTGCTTCTTCCAGGCCTCAGGCCCCCTTCTCCTGCTGTCAGACCCTTCAAAGATGACCGCTATGGTGTTCACCAGCTCCTCAGCACTGTGGATGCATCCCTACAAGGGCCATGGATTTGTGGATATCCCATTTCCCTAGGTGATCTCTAACCCAATTCTCCCTGCGCAAGGGAGAATCTTCCTTCCAACATTCCTGAAGGGTAATAAGCTGATGAACCAGTCTGGCTAAATATTCAGTGGGAAGACCTTCTTGCCCAGTCCAGAGATACAATCCTAAAAGGATGGTCTTGGACAGATGTTCAAGAGGTCAGCGCTCAGCAGCCAGTGCTGAGCTGAATGCTGGCAGAGGGACTGCCCAGATGCCTCCTGCCATGAAGCCCCATTCAGTCTGTGCTCAGACTGTTCTTGGGCATTAAACATTCACATTAATGCACGGACACTGAGCCAGACAGGACTTGATACTGCTTCCTGAGCAGGCACTGCCGAGAGGTGTCCTGGAAAAGAGGTGACATTAGGGACTCAGGAAGCAGCACTGCACTGAGTAGTTCCTGGACATCACAGTTTCCAGCAGGGCACATGGTGGAGAAAAGCAGGCTTGATACTCCTCAATGAATGAAAAGGAGCCCACAGAGAAGAACTCAGTAGATGGAGGGACCACATCTCATATCAGCATTAAAGATGTGGGGTCACCACAGCTAGACAGGGGGGTGGCCCAGCTAACACTGCGGGCCTTGGCCTGTGCTTCCCACACTGAGGAATTGCTGAGGCAAAGGATCCATGCTGCATATCCTGCCAGAGAGATCTTGGAGGCTGTCAGATTGGTGGGGGAACAGAGCCTCTTGCTGGTGATACAGTTCACCAGGGAACAGCATCCTGCACACATGGGTGGTGGAGATTTTGGTTTCACTGCAGATGGAGTCCTGGCAGGCAGTGTGGGACCAGGGTCACCACGTGTCTGGGACATGGGTGTCTGGCACCTGCTGCTCCTCTGGGCAATGACTGCTCGAGGCAAAGATGTCATCCTTCTGTGCTTCATTCCTGAAATCTCTCAGGGCATGTTCTCTGCAGTCTTCTGGGTTCCTGAAGCAGTACCAAGGCAAAGGTATGCATGTCCTGGATTATGCACAGGGGAAGCCAGAAGTTGTCAGCCACTCACAGAACTCTCCACAGGAGAGAAAGAGCAGTAAACACTGCAAAGATGCCTGCAGGAAAGGGGACTTGCATGAAACTGACGAGCCTCCAGACAGGATAGGAAGTGATCCCTGATCTACTCTGTGTGTGAGGCATCATCACTTGAAAGCAGAAAACTGAAATAGTAAAATATTTCCTCTGGCTTTAGCTCTTTTAGGTAGAAAAATAAAGAGGGAAAAGGGAAAGAAATGGAAACAGTTAACAAGGTGGCATAGAGGTGAGTGCCATGGCAGGCACTGAGGCACGCACCTCCCATCTACCCACACACCCACAGGCAGCCAGGGCTTCTGCTGCTTCCCAGTGCCCTGCTGCTCCTGTGAAACACTTTCCCAACTTCCTGCAAGGTAAGATGGCAGTCAGGAGCTGCAGCAGACCACAGGCTGAGGAACTGCCATTCCCCAGCACCAGCAGGGCTCCACCTGCGCCCTGATTTCCCGTTTCCTGCTCAATTCTTCTGCCATTTGCAGGGACTCGCCTCCCTGCCTGCTCTAGGCAGCTCAGCCCCTGCTGGAATGCCAGCACATGCCTTAACACACGGGGCAGGCACGGGCAGAGCAGCTCACCCTGCCCAACACCGACACTGTGCTGTGGTGCATGGAGGCCACAGCACTCCCAGCTCAAGCACCCAGCAGCATCAGCCACTCAGCCACTTCTACAGAGAGAAACTCCTGCATCCCTCAGCCCCCATTTTATCTTCCATACATAATCCTAGAGATGATCCAAAAACTCTACTGCCATGTGCTTTCTCCTCCCTTCAGTACCTTTAGTGGGAAGCATTTTTTCTCCAGAGCTTCACCTGCCTTGGCTGTGCAGGCTGTGTCCACTTCTCAGTGATCACACTGCATCACACTGCCTCTCTGGAGGCTGCTCTCTCCCTCCTTACACCCTGCCAGGCCCCAGCCTCCTGTCACCATCACTGGAGGAGCCAGCCAGGAAGATGCCACAGGAGATGGTGTGACAGGGGATCCCCACTGCGGTTACACTGAGGTGGGATATGGGACTGAGGGCAGGCAGGAAGGTGCTCTGGGAGGCCCTGGTGTGGCAGAAGAGGCCAGGAAACAGGAGGATGTTCACAAGCCAGGATCAGTTCCATTTTCAATCCTTCAGCCTCTGCACTGATGATGCTCCAGGTTAAAAACAAGGCAGCCCATGCAGCACTAGGGCCTGTTGAGGGCCAGTGGATTTTAGAACAGGGATCTCACCACTGTCCCATCCACCACGGGGAGACCCACTGATGGGGGCTTGGGCTCTGAGGGACCACAGCCCCCTCTCAAGCCCCGCGGCAGCACAGGAGAGGCCACACCCGGCGAAGCTGTAGAAAAGGAAATCGTCCCATTTAATGACCTCGCCCGCGTAACACAGACGTGAGCAAAGCAAAGTGCACAGTGAGCGGGACTCGTTCCCTGCCCCCGAGAAGGCCTGGGAGGCTCGGGGTGCCCGGCTCAGCGTGGGCAGTGCCAGCCGGGTGCCCAGCCAGCAGCAAGGGCAGGGAGAGCCCCGGGCTCGGTCCAGTTGGCACCAGTGTCAGGTCCAGTCTGCAGGGAGGTATGGCTCTTGTTGGCTCCGTGAAGCGCAGGGAGGGCAGGGCAGGTGTACCAGGACGGAGGCTGGAGGAGGTGGGTCTGGGGCGCCTGGGAACACGTCCTGCAGAACGCCACCGTGGCAGGTTTGGAGCCTCCCTGCCCGAACCACGGCTTACCCAAAGCAGGGAAAGGGAATGGAGAAGGGGCTGAAGGCGGAGCAGCCCGGGCAAGGGCCCTCAGGTCTATCTAGCTATTCCCATGAGCAGGGTATCCGGTGAGGGGGTGTGTGGGGTCTGCCAAGCACCCCAAAACAGGAGTGAGCCTGGGCGACAGACGTTTACCAGCAGTTCCACGTCCCTGACAGTCTCTCCCAGGTGTGACTTAGGCAACCCCGTGCCAGGAAGGGGGTCCGAGGGAGCCGGGCCTCCCCTCATTATCTGATGGAAGCATCGCTGGGGGGATCACGGTCGGACTCCTCGCTCTCCTCATGCGGAGCTGACTCGCTGTTGGAGGTCGGGGTGAAGGCAGGAGACTTTCTGCACAGAACAGTAAAGGGCAGCAGTCACAGCATCGCCCAGGGGGAGGGAAAGGACTCAGTTTGGTGTGGGGTAAGAAGGACAGAAGCTGAAGTGCCCCTGGGCATGTGTGTGTCTGCAGGAATCCCCGGCTGCTGGGAGGGTGTTCCAGAGGACACCATTCCCGAGCATGAAGCAGAGCTGGGGGAGATGCTGGAGGGGCCTGCCCAGAGCAGGAACCTGACAAGGTGTGTAAGGGCAGGGGTCTGTGGAAGTCCACCACAGGGGTCCCCAGCCTGGAGCCATCCTGGCTCCACAGGCCTTTGGGGACTGCACAGAGGCAGCTCCTCTCTCCACAGCAGGGGTCTGGCATCATGTGCAAAGTGAATCCTGTGTGTCTCCTGCCTTGCGCACGGGCAGCACCACGAGCTGTGTGGAGGCCAGCCAGGCGTTCAGCAGCCTCTGGGAACTGCCCTCTCCCCACAGCACATGAGGGCAGGGCAAGAGCTCTGCCATGTCCTTCAGCTCCCTCTCACCACCACCCCGGCTTCAGACCCAGAGCCTGGGTGTCCCTGCTGGAGCTCACCTGTCCCCAGACTGGGTGATGAGCCGCCGGCAAGTCTCCATCTGCACATCCAAGCCTCGCTTCATGCTGCACATCTCCATGTACTCGTGCAGGTGCCGGTTCATGTCATTTTTGGCTGTGGCCAATTCCAGCTGCTCAAGGGAAACGGTGCAGAGATGATCCCAGGGCATGTGGTGCAGGGCAGCGGGCATGGCCAGACCAAGGGCTGTCACCCACATTACCAGTGACCTGCTCCAGCATTGTGCCTCCCTCCCCCAGGGACCCACTCCCCTATTTCACACCCCTCTGTGCCATGGCTCCCCCATCTCCCACCTCTATTTGGTCGATGGTTTCCTGGTACTCCTTCTCACGGCTCTTGAACAGTGACTCTGTGTCCTTGATCACCTTCTCCAGGCTGTCATCCTGCTGCTGAGGAGAGCAGACAGCAGATTTAGAGGCAGGGAAGCGTCCAACATGAGGAACCAAAGGCAAGAGAGAGACAAATCAGAGAAAGAATTGGCAGCACCGGGAAAAGAGGAAGAAATATATACAGTGTAGTACAAATAAGACAGGAGTCAGTCCTGTCAACATGGACTTGAGAGACTCAGGACTCGCCACACTGGGCAGTGACCACATCAACCCAAACAAGCCCAGCGTTGCACTGAAGATCTGGAGACCATTCCTGAGCATGATCCATCCCCAGGGGACTGGCAAGGGCCAAAGATTTGGGATGACAAGGCCTTTGGCCAGACACCAAGGCCCCTCTTCGGGCAGTTTTGCTGCACATTGGGTAGGTGGGCTGGTGAACGTGAGCAAGGATCACCAGAGAGCAGTCCAGGCAGAAGTGTTCTGTTCTGGATGGGCTGTGACTCTCCCCACATGTGTGCACCCCACCCTCAGCACACCCCTCAGGCTACAGGTCCCTGTCTCTGAAAAGGAGACCTTGACAGGGACGCTGTGATGTATTCATGCAGAAAAGGCAGGAAAGCATTGTGTACAGGCCTGCAAAGGCAAAGGGGCTGAAATCTGGTCCTTGAGAGAGCATCTTCGCAGGCTCAGGCAGGATCGAGCGTCCCAACCCAAGGAGAGCTCAGGGCCCCGACACCGCCGTTACCTCCCCCTGCACCTCTGCGGCTGCAATGGCGTATCCTGAGAAGTCCTCCCAGAGGAGCAGCGTTTCTTCTGTCTCCTCCCACGTGAGGCTGTCACAGTCGTCCTCAAAGTCATATTCCCTCCTGGGCACAAGGGAACAGCACGTCAGCACCCAGCAGGAGAGCACAGCAGGCAGGGGGCTGTGTCAGTGCCAAAGCCTTGCACCCGCTCACGGGCAAGGCCGCAGCTCTTGGGGGTCTGGCCAGGGAGAACTCAGGTGTGCCCAAACCCAACAGCTGATGGGGAAGGGGCTGGCTTTATGGTCAGGAGCCCGAGCAAATCCAGGCACAGATTCCCAAAGGCAGGACAGGGGGCAAAAGGAGGGGAGCTGGACCAGCTCCCATTCTTGGCATAGGTGGGCTCAGGTCTCCCAGGGAGTCACAGTCCCACTGTGCCACAGAGCACAGGTGACCACTCTCCACAGCAACATCTCTCATCTGGCCCTCACCCGGGAAGGAAAGGCACAGAGCACCCCTGCCCTCCCCACCCCAGGCCAGCAGGGAGCCTGGTGCTGGAGCCTGGCTGCACAGCACGGGCAGAGGTGCGCAGCAGCCGCACTCACAGCTGGTTCAGCATCCTCTGCATTTCCTCATTGATACTCATGGCCGTGGTCTCGTCCTCCTCCTCCTCGTCGGGCTTCCGGGAGGCATCGCTCTCCGACAGCGAGGTGTCCTCGTCGCTGACCTGCCTGCGCTCCCGCTTCCGCCCCACCGAGGCTGGGACCTTAACGGGAGACAAGTGCAGAGACTACAGAAACGAGGCCGGGTCCGAGGGCAGGAGCAGGGAGTGGGCAGGAGATGGAGGGGAAAGGAATGGTGGAGGGACAGAAAGGCAGGGAGAGAGAGAAAGACAGAAAGAAAGGAAGGAAGAAAAGAGAGAGGAGAGGAGAGAGAGAGAGAGATGGGCTCGTTATGATCAGGTTAAAGATGGGTGCAATGGATAAAACATGGTTTTAGCATTTTCTAAAATTAAAACTAAGCAACTAAAGATGGAATCTATGAATTTGATGAGGAAAAAAACAACGTGGTTTTACTGCAGAAAAACTCAAATCACCCACCACCCCAGTCCAGAGACAGGGAAACACAGTGACAGAAACAGGAAAAAAGAGACAGTCTGAAAAAGGTGAAACATGTCAATATTTATAGGCCGACCTTTTTAAAAGAAAGTTTAAAATTTTTAAAATTTCTCAACTGAATGGAACTAACCAGTTGCTTCTGTAGGGACAAAGAGCGAGACAGAAAAGCAGCAACATCCAGAAAGAGAAAAGAGACAGAGACAGAGAAGAGAGACAGAGAGAAGATGACGGAGAGGGGAAGGGAAAGGAGAGAGATGGAGTTAGAGACAGACACTCAAGCAACTTGTCTCCCTCCTGCAGCTGCTCCCCTAGCACTGGGGGGTCCCCGGGCCCAACACAACAGGTTAGCAAGAGGGTGAGGGGACTCCTGATGTCCAAAGCAACATCTGGAGCATTCCACCTCCACTCTGTGCCCTTTTGCCTGGTCCTCCCGAGAGAGACAGAAATCAGGGGACCAGAAGGAGCAAGGGCTCGGGTGACCAAGCACCTCCCCTAGCAGGGGGCTGGTGTTGTCTCTTCTACCTCCTCCTTTGGGATCTCTCCTCCCCAGAGTTGGTGGCTGAGTTGGGAGCAGCAGCGGGTGCTCCTCACCTGAAACATCTTGATCATGTCCTCACAGTTCCGCTGCTGTGCCACGTCACACAGCTTGGCAGTGATGTCGATGCGACGGCAGATGTCCATGTCCACCTTCATGGCCTTCTCCTGGATCTTGGTGTCCAGCTCCGTGATGTTCTGGACCCACGGCACCACAGGAAGGCGACAGGGGAGGAATATTAGGCAAGACAGATGGCAATCGGTGCCCTCACGTTCCCTCTCATGCAGGACTGCTCCCTCATGCCTGCTTTGCTTGCAGACCAACCCCACCAGTGCTGGATGGAACTGCTTTTCCACACAGCCACACCACGTGCACAGGACACTGCTGTGGGGTTGGAGAGGGATTGGGGACTCACATTGCTCATCAGTCCCTTGAAGACAACAAGCTCTGCCTTGAGCTGCTCCACCTTCATGGCCAGCTCCTCCTGGCAAGCTTCAGCCTCCTGGGCTTCCTGTGCCAGGGTGAGAGAGACGTGCAAATCAGCACCAGTGTGGGGCATCAGGGGCGCAGGGCAGGGGGAACAGCCAGGCTCACCTCCTGCAGCTCAGCCACCCGGTCCTGAAGCTGGACACGCACCGTGTACTCCTCTTCCCATCTAGGGAGACAAACGCCGCTCAGATCCCATCGGCCTCGCCTCGCTGGCTGCCAGAGGGAGAACACGGAGCGGCAGCTGCTCACCCCACAGCCATCCGAGAGGGGGGACCACAGCACTGGCCCGGGAAGGAGAACGCGCCCAGGAATGCATGGCCTCTTGTTTTCAGGCCATGGCAGCTGCCAAGCCCATCGTCCCCCCAGCTACAAATGCTGTCCCACCCACCAGGGCCTGCCCTGCGCTGGGGGAAGCTGGGGACACCGACCGCAGGCTCTGCCGGCAGCTGGGCCACACACCCACGGCCCCTCACAGCCATCGGCCTCTGCCCTGAGCCCCACAGCCCTAGGCCACAGCAGCTCCAGCCCTCACAACAGCTCTGCAGATGGACTGGGGAGTTGCCCCCATCTGCAGCACTTCTGTGACCACGTCTGTGTGTCTGTGGTGCTGCAGTTCAGGCTGTCCAGCAGCACAAACCCTGATCCTGACACAGAACCACCCCACAGTGAGAGTGACCACCATGTGCACCAAGGGCTGCTCCTCTGCCTGTCCCAGTGCAGAGGGCAGGGCCACAAGAGTCCTTGGCTCCACTGCTGCGTACCAGGTTGGATTAAAGAACACTGTGTCATCCCACAAGGGAGCAGGACGGATTGTGCCACTTCATGCTGGGCTGTCCGTGGGTACTGGGCTCTGCAGCTTTGCAAAAAGTGGAGCTGCAAGGCGCCCAGCCTTGCTGTGCAAAGACACATCCCCTAGCAATTATTATATTACATTTCAGGGCATGAGCTCAACCTCTTGGGTCTCGCTGCAGTGTTGGCCCGGCCCACGGTCTGTTGGGAGGCCATCAAGCCGTGCTGCCCTTGGCTAAATGATGATCCCATCGAGCAGGGGGCTGGGAAGTGCTGCTGTGCGGCATGGGGCAGGGCTGCTGCATTCTTACCCAGCTCCTGGCTCTTCTGGGAGAGCCAGATTTTTCTGAGAAAGCGAGATCACTCTGGGATAGCAACCAGAGCTGGGCTCTTCCTGGTGCTGCGAGGTCTGGTTTCTATTTAGTGCCTGCAAGCACCAACACAGACACTGCGACTCTGCACAAGGATGTGAAAAATCTCTCCTCTCACTTACCCACACCAAGTTTGAACAATAAATCTTAAGGTCTAGGAGGCCAGAAATCATATGAAAAGCCCTCACATTTGTTATCTCGGACAATCTGACAACGTGGGAGAGCCCTGGCTTGTGAATTTCTGAGCTCTTAAAGCTAGCAGTGCTGCTCCTTACTCAAACAAGGACAAAAGTGTGCACTCCTGTGCTGGTATTGGGTCCATACTACAGCTTCAGAAGGGGAATCAAAGAGTGTTCCTATCCCTTTGGGGAAAGAGAGATGAAGGGAAAAGAAAGGAGAAAGTTAAAAGGTAGAATTGCCCTTATATGGGAACTGCTCAAACAAAGCCTCCCTCCCCAGGGACAAAAACGCCTTCCACCAGAATAAAAAAATTTCAGCATCTTCCTTGGTGTGGCACTGCCTCTTTTTTGGTCCCCGCCTCCCTCTGGGTCCCTATATATCCCAGACTCACTGGGGACCTAAGGCAGAGCTGCAAATCCTGGTAAGAGCTCATTTCACACCAACGCTGTGGAAGAGAGTGCAGGTCACATACACACCGGCTCAGAAGGCAGGAGAAAACAGCAATTCACCCCACCAGGGACAAATCCATGCACCCATCCACTGCAAACCTCTCTCCCTCCTCTCCTGCCTGGCTCCTTCTGCCCTGCTCCCTCCTGCAATGCACCACTCCTAATAATAACCTGCCTGCAGCACTGCGCCCGCAGCCGCTGCAGGTCGCTGCCAGCTGGAAGCAAGGCTGCCCCGCACAGCCCCACGGCCACGTGTGTGCCAGGGGGACAGGGGGTGCTCCTGCACTGCTGCACAGCCACAGCCTGCCCAAAGGCAGGCAGCGAGGGCAGGAGGGTCCCAGCTGCACGCAGAGCTGACCACCTCCCTGCCAGCTAGGGGACAGCTCTCCCAAAGCCAGGGATGTGGAAAGATGCAGTGCTGTCCCTGCCAGGTGTGTCCCTTCAACAAGTTCACTGAGAAAAATCAACAATCCCCCCCATCCTTTAAGTCCTGCTCACTGCCACAGGCACTGGGGTGCTTTAGCCCATCCTGCAGGGTCAGTGCACATGGTGGGATTTGGGCTGCTCGAGGCTGAGGCTCCACTTATCCCCCTCCTGCCACGTCTGAACTATGCTGGAGCTCACCTCAACGGGGATGGCCCTGCAGCCTGGCACAGCTCCTCAGAGGGAAATTACAACAACAAAAAACCTTCTTGAAGCATTTTAGTAAACAAGGGGGCTTACAAGAATGATGGAGAGACTTTGTACCAGACCTTTTGCCTGCAGTGACAAGAGGTGAAGGTTTTAAACTGAAAAAAGGTAAGTTAAGATTGGACATAAGGAACAATTTTCAATTTTTCATTATGGTGGTGAGACACTGGAGCAGGCTGCCCAGAGAAGTTGTGGATGGCCCATGAGGGGAAATGTTCAAGGTCAGAACTTTGAGCAACCTGATCTAGTGAAACCTCACAGCAGGGAGACAGGACTGGGTAACCCCTAAAGGTCTTCTCCAACTCAAACCATTCTGTGACTCTAACACACTGTGTTGTAGCACTGCTCACTCCACACCTCCAGGGTATCCTTGCAACACCCAGGATTAGAACTACTTGTGACTACAAGTAGTAGGTGTAGCAGACAGCACAAACGTGATGAGACTCCCAGATCCCCAGCACTTAGCAGGTCTGTGTGATACTCACAGGCACCCTTTGCCCCTATCCAGGCCACCTAATTTCAGTCTGCTCCTCCCAAGTGAGCTCCTGTGAGCCTCTCTCCTGCTGCTGCAACTATTCTCACCCCTCCCTACAGCCCCACAGCCCTCCTGGATCCCTGACTTGAATTCCAGGCCCTGTGTATCCAGAGAGAAGCTCCTGCTGCACTGCTCCAAGTGCAGTGGGGTGCACAGCAGCAATGCTGTCCCGAAAAAAGCACAAGCTCCCAAGCCATGCGTAGGAGAACTGGGAAGTCCTGTGTTAATATGGCCTCTTCCATCTGTCTCCAGGCAGGTGGCAAAGGCATGACACCAGCTGCACTGTCCCCATGGCAGATCACAGCCCACCGTGGCAGGGAACTCTCAGCTCCCAAGGGATGTTGGTGTCAGCCCCCAGCATGGAGAAGGGTGTGGAAATGGAATCCTTCTGTCCCATTCCCCTGTTTGGGACCTGGCTGTACCCGTCACGAAGTTCCCAGTGCTGGATAGGGTCTGGGGGTGGGGTCTGCTTTGCCCCAGCTCCTGGTAACACACTCCAAAAATAGATCCCACCAATAACATTGGCTCACAGCAGCTTGTGGTGCCCCCCCATCTCACCCTCTGCTGCCTTCCCTGCAGCTCACTTGCCAGAGCAGGACAACCCTGCTCAGCTCTCCGTTCTCCCAAAGTTTCAGCAGCACCAACAAACCCAACTTTGTCCCCTCTGGCTGACCCACTTTGAGGCTCAAGCTTTCCTGGCCAAAAAACTGGCTCCAGCTTCCCACTCTCTGATCTGAAAGTGCAATGCAAGGAGCGCTGCTCCCCTCTGGAGAAGGAGCCTGACCACTGGCTTGATAATAAAAGGCCTTAGATACATGCAGCACTTGGTGGGAAAGAAGAAATGCCAACTCTTCCTTTCCATGTGCCTTGCTCAGTGCCTTTGGAGCATCTAGCAGGAAAGTTTGCTCAGCCTAAGCCTTATAAAGCCAAAAGCATAAGGTGTCATCTTGGACCCCAGCCCCGATCCTGCCACTGGAGCTGTGGCCATGCAGAGCGGGTCGGTGGCACAACTCCCGTGGGGAGCTGGGTGTGGAATCACAAACTTCCTAACTGCTTCTAAAGCGTCACAGCGTGACTTCTGAAAAGCCCAGAGCAGTGGCTCGGGTGGTGGCAGCCACAGCGCCGCTCTCGCCCCGACCCCGCCACGCCAGCCCAGCCTGAGCTCATCCTACGTGCGGATCCGGGAGCAGCCTCGGGAACCGGCCTGACACAAAGGGAGCCGCGGCCACCCTGCTCGGGAAAGAAGAACCAGCCAAGAGATTAGCTCTGCATTCTGCTTCACCCTTCTCCAAGGCACATGCCAAGCCACAGCTATTTTGGGTCGGGAGGAAAGCCCCCGAGGAGTGGGGTGTCCTACCTCGGCTCTCTGCTGCCGAGGGGCCAGCTGGAGAGTGCTGGCGAGGGAAAGGGCCTAGGAGAGGCCGGCCACCCTGCTGAGGGGCTTCCCACACCTTCCGACACATCCAGAGAACTCTTTCCTTCCCAGCAGCCTTCTCCAATCAAACCCGCTCGCTGCTGCACGTCCACCTTCCTCACCTACTTTCAGGTTCTCCTCCTCCCTGAGCATTTCCAGATCCCCTTGGCTTTAAAACACAGGTCCTGGAGTTATTCCTTCCCTGCCTGGAAAAGCATTTCTAGTCCCTCATGCCAGGTTGGTAAGATGGAAAAAGGCTCAAGGAACATCCCGAGAGGGTTCGCACACCAGGTGCCAAGGGAGGAGACCCAGGCACAAACAAATGCTTTCAGGGCTCCACATTTTCCCCATGCTGCCTGCAGCCCGTGCTCCCGAGAAGTCCGGCCAGGACTTCTCCTTCGCCTTCCCTCCCTGTTTCCCCCTCACATCTCCCACCGGGCAGAGCCCTGCAGCGACAGTCCTGGTGTCCATCGCTCCCGCCGCCCCTTCTCACCTGCGCTTGTACTCGTCGCGCTCCCTCTTCACCTTGGCCAGCACGTTGTAGAGGGCTCGGATCTCGGGGGTGATGGTGTCGAT